CTCCTCAAACTGAGCTAAGTCTAAGAGCGAGAGGAAGAAAGAGAACAGGAAAATAAAAGGAACTGTCGAGCTTCTCAAATACTTACTAGTTGTACAGCGATTTGTTTTTGCACATTTTTATAAATTTTATAATCCACCAAAACAGCTAAACGAAAAGTTTATAAAAAATACATTTTTAAGCTTTCGATCGAATAAGCACTCATAACTTAGTAACGGATATCATAGATAATTTTCTGTTAAATCACTATTACATTTACATTTTCAATTATAATAATGCATAATCGGCTTTTGTTAGGTCACGTAAAGGCTTAATTACAGATTAATAATGGACACAACAAGCGAGAGATTTTTCAGTTAACGATGATAGAAAATTAAAAAACAATGTTGTAAAACACTATAAAAAATAATAGGAAGTATTCATAGAGTTGTTGACCTCTTTTGCTTTGTCTAGTTAGTCTTCATTATTTGTATTGACGAACTAACCTTAATGGTATTTCAAATATATATTAATCAATATATATATAAAAAACAAATAATTATTCGTTCTTAATGGCTGATTTGGCCACTAAGATGAAATAGTCAATTTTATACGCAATTGTCACTGATATTTGCAAATATTGTAAACAAGAACGTGAACCACCAAAACATTTTCGGAGTGAATATGGACCATCGATCCCCCAAACGGCACATAAATGCATGACAATGTCTATCAGCCTAGATTAGATAAATCTCTGAAAGTCAGGAATTAAAGACAGTTTAGCGTGAACTGTAGTAATTCTAATTAATTAAAAATAAATTAGGGAGAATATATTTTGAACCACTTCACGTAAAACACACAAGAGGACAGCTAACAAAATTATAAAAAGAAAAGAATTGGTTATTTATTTGCATCGAACATGTTCCGATACTATTGTAGCGGCTACAAAAAAATGTTTCACTTACGGGACATCATATGCAGTGGATCGAATTGTGCTTAATTAACGAGTGCTTTAATAACGCAGGTATAAATACTTTATGATATTATTACATTCAATCAATTTTGCATTAATAATGCTATTCTGAAAAATATTCTTAATGAAAAATTCTTAAAAAATCTACTTTATCCCTGACACTCTGACATGGGACTCGAACCCGTGACCTTTCTTTATGATGTCTTTATTTTTCTTAACTACATTAAAATAAAGTTTCACAGTAATACAAAGTCCTCTTTAAATTTCTTAAACTCGTACGCCAATTCAACAAGACGCTAATTTCTGAACAATTTACGTCACACAAGACAAAAGGAAAGCCGGCCGAAGGCAGGGGAAGTCAATTAACATGCAAATGTAAGAAAACGACCATTAGGCAAGGCAAGAATACGCAACTCGACGTATCGATCATACGAACCCCACACGCCTGCATACGGCCATCTCTTTTTAACTTCCCCACAGCAGATCGCTATAAACATAAATATTTTCGTGCTGTAAAGCCTTTTCTGTTACGCTACTACATAAAAATTTCATCCTCATCCGTTTTGTTTTAAGAATCCAATTCGATTGGTAGAGATGTAAATACGACCTTCTTGAATAACTGGTAGTGTTGTTGTGCCAGCAAATTCTGTTTCTATCTTTAAAGGAATAAAGATCTATTTCAGCGTAGAGTTAAGACAAAATGAGTTCTATAGGGAAATTTCAAAGGTTATTATTGATGGACGAAGCAATGCTACGTTTTGAATTGTTGACATGACATCCTATAGGTACCGCTGTGTGGCGGGGTAAGATAGAGCGTCGTTCGTAAACACTGTGATGAGTTTGGTTTTATGCCTATATACGCATTGGTATCTACATAAAGATACGGTGAATATGTATTCCTCTTTTTCAAGAATTAAAACGGTAATGAAATTAATAATGTTGATACTCTTTTTTAAGTAAGAAACGTTCGCATGCCTGAGCGGATGGTGTAGTGAAATTTTATAATTTCGACTTCCTACGTACTTTGAATTGCAGGTACCAATTCAAAAGTATTACATTAGTTTGAATTCAAATCAATATATTAAACATTAAGTAGGCTATAACAAGCACTTTTGAATCGTCAAAAAAAAAATTTTTTCCCCTACCACTTGTTCAGGACATCGATTAGCTGACAAGAAGAACAAGCGAAAGAAACTTACCAGATCTTAATCATAAGTAAAGACATTTACATAAATCATGTCATTACCAAAATAATATGTATTATCACAATAATAAATATAACTTTCAAAGTCTGTAGGACATAGGTTGAACATATAATTAGTCTTTATAGAACAAAGCGAAGGCTATTAATTCCATGCATTGCAATCCTTAAAATAATCATCAACTTTATAAGAGCCTTTACTCATAAGTATGTTCTTTACATGAATTTTAATTTTATTTATGGGTAGGTCAACTACATTTTGTGGAATTTTATTGAACATAGCAATGCATTTACCCAGATATGATCCTCTGGTTTTCTTAAGTCTGAAGCTTGGAACGGCAACTTTATTTTTATTTCTTGTGTTAAGATTATGAACACTACTTTTTTTGTAATGTTTTCTTGCGTAGATAATATTTTCATAGATGTATTGAGAGGTAACAGTCAAAATATTTTTTTTATAAATATTTCTCTGAGAGATTCTCTAGACCGTAAATTATATATAGCGCGGACAGCTCTCTTTTGTAGAGTAAAAATATCTTGAATGCTAGCCGCAGAACCCCACAACTATGAAAATAACTAAAATATACCAATCTTGCCGTTTCAACATTTGTCAAGAGTCTAATTTTCTTAACAGCAAATGCTGCAGAACTCAGTCTACTTGATAAATTATCAATATGAGGATCGTTTCAGTCGGGAATCTAGTGTAATTGAATTTAGGAATCATGTTCATTTCTGTAGATAGGAGTTGAAAAATATGAAACAGGCATTTTTTACGCAATCCATAATTTATGGCGATTTACTCAAAGTTATGTTAATTCAAATTTATGATTATTTATATTCAATTTTGTAAGTTATTTTAACTCAAAGTTTAAAATGTGACATGACGTCACACCTTTGGAGATATTCTACATAATGCGACGTCGCATCCTCCCCACATCAAATGTAATACTTATTATAGGTCATTTCTTGTAGATGAGCAATAAAGTTCTTTAAACAGAAATTTAAGCAACGAAAATAAGCATTCACTTTCTAGATTTTTTTACACAAATATGATCCCTAAAGAGAATACTCAAATTAAACGCCGTAGGTTTATGATATTTTTCTATAATAATAACCAATAATAAAACAAAATATAAAAAAAAAATATTAAACTATACAATATATTCAAAACCTTAAAAAATTGTTTTTTACACGACCTCGTCGGCTATAATCCTTATTTGTTGATTTCATTTTTCGTTCAATGAATTGTCCTTATTGGAGAGTTGCCAAGATAAAAGGTGGACCGTGCAAAAGGTCACGGTTCGAATTTCATCTTGGACAAGATACAGTCGAATTTTAAAGCATTTTTATTAAAAATAAATGAATGGGATTATTAGTAATTCAAAAATTAAATATCTAAATAAATATATGATTACGTACGCCGGTTACTGAGGCTCTGAGGTTTCGGGTTCGTTACCCGGTCAGATTAATATAGAAAATGAACTTTTCTACGTCTCGGGTCTGGGTATTTCAAATCTTTTTTGTTTCAGATACTCCATAGTAACTATTTATCTTGGAATCCGAGAAGTGTATATAATATTGTTTAATATTTATCATATATTTATTTATTTATAAAAATCGAAAAGTACATTTCGATCATTTATAGTGAGTAAATTTATATTCGGTATTTCTAATATATTGCAATGCATCGGTATGCAAAAACTGATGTATGCAGATTTGATTTGCATTTATATGACAGTGAGCTGAATAGCCTTAAGGAAAAAGTGTATTTCGATTTTGTACGAAATATTGAAGGGTTCGAAATACAGTATTTATATGTTTCACATATACATTTTCTAGAATAAGAAACTAACAAATTTCCAATAAGAAATAAATTTCTTTTTAATTGAGTTGTTATTTCAAAAACTATTAAAACAAGCATTTTTTAACAATTTCGTTTTATCCACAGGTTTCATCTCAGCTTCACATATAATATTTATTTAATGAGCTTTTGAGATGAGAACTGAGTTGATAACCCGTCTTTCAGCATACAGACCCTTCAGCCTCAGATTCTTATAATTATATGTTTTAATCCGATCTGAACAGAGAATACATTAGAAGTTACCAACAAGTAAATTTTTACATCACAGATTTCGGAAAAATTACAAAGTTATGGAAGCATGTTTTTACAATGAATTGTACAATTATATTTCATTAATCACGAGAAAATAATGCTTAAAAATACAATTACATTTAATGGATAGCGACAGATGAAAATAATAAAAATTCAATTAGTGTAATGTAATATAAAAAATAATAATTGTAATAAATAATATTGTTACCCCATACAAGAAACTTTATACATCCCATTTTTTATGGCAAATTAATAAATATAATGACAGCAAAATAGAGCAACAAGTAATGCATAAACTGTGTTGTATTGCATAGCATGCTATTGCATGTTGTCAATCGGAAATATGTATCGAAGATTCCGGTGTACAAATCTTTCAAATGCGTTCTCGACATCCATTACAATAACTCGCGAGCTCTCGCGAGAAATCTAGCCAAAATGTAATCTAAGAGGTAGGTTTCATAACGCCATCTTTTGATAGCCACTTGCAATTACTATCATGTTGATATAAAAGTGACATGCGCGGATTTCAGTTTTGTCAAGCGATTATGAATCTTTTATCCTTTACATAAGAGTAGTATTCAAGGAAAGCTTTCGCGCTTGCGCCGTCCCATTGATTGTGTTACGCTTTTGACAGGTGTTGGTGGCAAACGAAACGCAGAGTTTGCTTTGTAATAAAAAATGTATTTTGCAATATTATTAAATTAATACTGAGTTCTAATCTAGGAAAGTGCAAGAGATGAAAATAAGAGGTAATAAAATTTAAATATTCTAGTTATTATTCTTTTTTATTCGTATTATTTTGTATTTTAGGTCCTTAATCAATTTCCAAAATATTTTTATTTCACTTAAAGACTTTTGATCAAGTCTACAAATATAGTAAATAGAGGATCAAGTTTATAATTTAGTATTAGTTAATATTTTGCTTTAAGCATTTTGTTGTTTTGATAAGATTATAGAAATATGGTGCTATTTTGTCTTAAATCTCATCAGTTTTAGATTGATTTCTATTGCTTTTCAATACAGTGGTCGTCAAAATTAAATAACAATCAAAAGGATTACAAACCAGTATCAGCACTAACTGTCTTACCCCGTTGTTCTATTGTGTTGCGAGTAAATGTAACCAAAGCTTGTGGATAAAGGAATTCGCAAGCCCGTGCTCATTGTAATCGCCAGGGATTAGGGTGTTATCGGCGATAATACGGTGGGCAGTATCCACTATGAGGAATGACAGACCCTATTTTTAGGGAGTTTGATTTAACGAGTAATACTGCTAGAAAGTGCAGAAAGCTTATAAAACGAGCTACATTTTAGAAAGATGCACTTTAAGTGTTTGTCAATACATAATTATGTTCAATAATGACATTAATTTTAATGAAGCATTTGACAAGGTGAATTTTGTCACTGCTTTCTGTGTTTACACTATTATTTAAACATTTTGTTTTGTTTGCATAGGGATACAAACTTAAAAAACTTGATCACTTTATTTCAATTAACCGTACAGAAATATAGGGCACTGATGTCCCACAAGGATACGTTCTTGTTCCTCACTTTTTTATTAACATGCAATATTAGGTTCGCTGTAGTCCTGTGTGTCCGTGTGTCGCCATCGATTGTGACGAACACTCTGACATATGGACGACGCGATGTCTCTATCGCATAATTTGTCCTCCATTACGACTTTATTCTCCACTCTATAATATAAAGAGGGTCCTATTAAAGAGTCGTCTTTCCTCTGAACAACTGTTCACTGCTCGGCCATTAATTATGCATTCGATACATTGAAAGTCCTTTGTAATATTATAGAGGGCGGTACCGCACCTGTTTAGTTTTAGTTTTTTGAGATTTTAGATAAGAGTATTAATGGTAAGTTAGATTATGAGAGTTTTCGCACAAATCTATAATTTTTTCTATGATTTTCTTTTATATGCTCGAATGTTATTATGGTAAATAACGTTATAACTTTTAAAATTGGCGTTTTAGATCTAGGCGTATTAATTGTATTTGTTATTATCTAAGTATGCCCATGTTGTAACTGCATATGTGATAAATAAAATGTCCTTTAATATTTGCAATAGATTTAATTGAGCAATTTTAATAAATATTCTTGATGGAAAATGCTTAGAAAATCCACTTTATCCCTGGTGCTCTGAGATGGAATCATAACTTCCAGCATAGCATTGTGAATGCAAAATTGTTCAAATATAATAATTTTAATAAATTCAAACATACCTACATATTTCGTAAGCACAGCCAATTCGGAGAAAACTAACAATTAATTTGTTGTATTGCTGACTTGATGACAAATGCCAAGGGTGATGCTTGTGAAATGAGGTGTGAATATTGCGTCCCCGCGGGGCTCCTCGCTGCGGGGTCGTGGGCCCCATGGAGTCACCCCAGCTGCCCAGATCGGCACCCACTTGGCTCTATATTTCTAATAGTGAAGAGCATTGTTACATTTATGGGTTTGAGAGCACAGGTTTTTGTTAATGTGTTATTATTTAATTATTTGATTGTCGTTAAAGACAATATTTTCATGTTATAAATTTTGGAACTCTAAGACCTATTTTACACCGTTTTTATAAATGCTTCATCTTTAAAGTTTTGAGTATACGAGACTGCTGCTAACCCATAACCAGTTGCTTCTTATCGAGACATATAATAATAAAATTATTTTGTTACAACTACGTATTTTCCAGCGGCTTGTTTTTATTTTATCATGTAATTGGAGTAATTTATATTCCATTATTGTCTTTTTTTCAGTATGTCTGTTATTTATCCTGAATTCTGTGTTGGGTCTACGTCGTGGGCCACATCATCCTCATGGTCAGACCCCGGTTGACCACAGCCATCATCATTACAAACCTAGGGGAACAGAATCGCTGACAGCTGAATCTCAACTGCTGCATGATACCAAGTTAGTATGCGTACTATGTTAAAATCTAGGTTTGTATTACAATCCCAAGAACTGCTTTATATTATTAAGACCAACTTCCTCAGCAAAGTCTAACTCTTTGAACGTTTTCTTACATGCAGTTCCACAAATCACCAATGGACTGAGTAATTTAAGTAATTTAAAAGGAAAACGTTCATGTAGAATTAATGAAAAGTTTCTATAAACAGGCAGAATCATAATGATGATCAATGACGATCTTGGAAAAGATCTCTGCTGACTGAGAATTTTCATATATACATTGAATCTTAATTATAAGTAAATTATCGACAATTTTGTACAGACACATTGAAGAGGATGCTCAGGTGCTGACTGCAGAAGCACTCGCTCGTATGACTCCCGAAGAGCTCGAGTTTCATTATTTCTCGGCTCACGATTTCGATAAGAATTCTAAATTAGATGGCTTGGAATTGTTGAAGGTAGGTACCGTTCGTTAAAGTGTTAAATATGATAACTTCTTTCAATATTGATAGTAGTTGAAAAAGGTTCTGAAAATACAGATAGATTGAATATTTTTTATTTACACACGGAACAAACAAAAAAAAATTGCAAATAGCAGAGGAATAATTGGTGGTCCAATCACTTAAAATGATCTCTTACATGCAACATTGGGACGGAGCTAAATATAAAAGACTGTCTAATATTTCAACTGTTTCCTGTATGCTATGTTAAGGTTGCCTGGAAGAAATTGCTTTTTAGCAATAAGGCCGCCAATTGTACTGTTCTGTTAAATTATTATATATTTGTTCATTCACTTATGGTGTGTACAATAAAGAGTATTTCATTAATTCATTTAAAAGACCTAGCAGTTTCGTTATTATTATTACACAGTCAGCTTTTGAAATATTTTTAATGTTTGCAGGCTGTGTATCATACCATAGAACATGAAGAAGCGGATCCTAATTCCGATTATACCATAGAGCCTGAGGCTAATGCCATTGATACTTATATTGGTAAGGTCTTTAATAAGATTGATAACAGGTTTTTTGATTAAAAAAAGAAAGCCAATATTAAACATAAAAGTAAACGAAATGACGTTAAATGCGAATAATTAGATATAGTTTTTTAAGCAGATAATTGACAAAATGTATAATTAAAACACTTGTTATTAAGTAAGAGATTTTATTTATCTATTTGGATAACTAAAAGCAATGTTTTTATTTGCTTCTATTCTATAAGGTTTATAATTATCTACTTATAGCAACCTGTACTGTTTACAGCTTTGGTGGATCGTACCCTAGAGACTGACGACACGGATGGAGACGGATATGTTTCATACTCAGAGTACAGAGCAGCGAGACAAAAGAATCCCACCGACAGAACATCGAGAGTTGTTGTTAGCGAGTAATAATAACTAACAAGGGTATTAGGATAAGTTTTTTAACGTGATGTAATAGCAGTGGTTGATATATTTATCAACCACGGCTATAACCTAATGAGAAAAAAATGTGACAAGATTAACTTTTAGATTTCTATAAAAAAAGTTATGTAAATCTTCATCAGATTTTCCAAATTGGTTCTTTTCTGTAGAGACGATATGTAGTGTGATTTTGTAATAACATTGGAGTAGAACTCGAAATCGAGCAGAGCACTGTAATAGCTTAGAACTACAATCAAATATGAAAAGATAATAAGGGTTTTATTTCATTGAAGCTCTATGCTGTGTAGTAGAGTAGAGCACTGAAATAGCTTAGAATTAGATTGAAAAGGTTATAAGGGTTTTATTTCGAGTTCGAGGCTGATTTTATTACAAAAGATGCAATAAAATATTTTCGATAAAAAAAACCATCAAAAGGTTTCGAAACTGATGGAAGAAACATGTGATTACCAATCTAGTTAAAAATACGAGTTGGTTTATGACTGTAATCTTTATGGCTCTTTTACACTGGTCGATGACATCTGTGTGCGGGTGATTTGTGTGACTTGCTTTCATGGTCGGTCATTGTTTTTTATTGACTAATGAGATGAGACCATTTACAATAAAGTCTCAAGCATGTATTACAATTATACCACCTCCGGCGACCGGTGTAACGGAGCCATTATTAGAAGAAATTATGTTATCACGGCTTCCAAATTTCAGTGCTTGCAGCGAAAAAAACAGGGAATTATTCTAATAACAGCGTTTGCATCGCATTTATTAGCTCTATTATAAGGTCTTAGTGCCCGTATCGCGTAACTGCATTGGCAAGGATTTGGTTGCTATTGGTCGATGCTATTCATCAAAACACTTTAACAATAAAAGTAATGAAATAGTTCAAATATCAGTACATCTGAATAATGGATAAAATATATGAATATATACTTCAGAAATTACACAACGTTAAACTTAATCAAAAGACCTTGAAGAAAATGGATGAAAAGACCCCCATCCGTCTTTCTAGTGTTAATGAATTAAATGCTGAGTATATTTGTAAAATTCCCAAATAAACAGAGCGAGTTGCATTTGCCCTCCTTCGATTATTGATATTTTACTTATTTTTAAATATAACTTGGTCTAGGACCTGTTTTTATTGTTATTAATTGCTTAGATAATTTTATGATATAAATATGGCTTAAGATGATGAAGAGAGTTTTTTTTGTTAAATATGATAGATACTGATTGTAATTATAAACGAATCTTTTCGGCCTATTTATAATAGTCGATGTTTTTTCTCCAATGGCATTTCAAAATTATCAGGAAAAATCATATCATTGAAAATTGCTAAAATATTTAATAAGGAAAAAGTATAAATTAAGTATTCCAAAGAAAGTATTGATATGAGACGGTATCAAGTAACACGTCAAAACAGTCTTAAAGTACATACTTACTTGTATGTTAGCAAAAAAAACACGTTACTTGTTTTTTCTGCATGAAGTTCACTTTTCTTAAATTGCACAAGTTTGTTTCGGATTCGAACTATTTGTACTTGTCTCTAGGAACAAAGATTAAACAATACAGAAAAATCTTATTTGAATATGTTTATAACTCAATACTTCTATAATGACCCTGGATATTATAAAGTTATGTTTCTGCTTACTCTTACTTACCTATTGTTGTGCCCGTTTTAAAGCAGGTTTTAAAAATTCTAAATTGGCAAAAATCTATGTTAAAATATATTTTACAACGAATAGCCCGTCAGGTTATTCAGGTTATAACAGCTACATTCTTAAGCATCGTTTGTATAATCAAAGATCACAACGGAATTGTGCATTGTGAGTGAGTTATTCTATAAAACATCAAATTCGACAACGAATTCAAACCCGTTCACAGCATGGAGCTGAAATAAAACCTCTATTACCCATTGAAGTAGGATTTATTTGATTAATTTCAATTTCGGTTCTGTTTTTCATGAAATGACATAGATGATGACCTGCTATGTTTAAATAAAAATTAAAAGAATAATAGCAAATTAGTAAGCATAAAGAGATTGATTATGTCAAATAAAATTCAATCTCAATAGAAATAATATTTCATTGACTGATAATTTAATGATCATTTACTGTGTATAAAAATAGGTATTAATAGTCATTTGAATCTTATACAATAAATCAATGAAAGAATAATATTTTAATTTTGTATACGGCATTTGTTTTTATTCAAGTAAGCTTGTTACAAGCACTTTTGATTCGTCCAAAAAAAATACTTTTCCCTACCACTCGTTCGGGATGTCTTTCAGCTGACAAGAAGAACAAGCGAAAGAAACTTACCAGATCTTTATCATAAGTAATGACATTGCCATAAATCAAAATAGTATGTATTATGACAAATAAAAATACAATTTTCATTCCAATTCAAATTTCATTCAAACCTTTATTTTTTGCAAGCTCTCCGCTAGTTGGACTTACGTGGTTCTATATTATTTATACTACTACTTTAATATTATAAAGAGGATAGATTTGATGGTTTGTTTGTTTGTATATTTGACTGTTTGCATCGAATAGGTTCTTTCACCTACGGGAAGCGACATCAATAATATGTGGTAAACATAGGCTATATTTTATCCCGAAAAACAGCAAATAAAGGGATGAAAATGGGAGTGAAAGTTTATATAGGGAATTTAAGCGTTGACATAGTAACCATTGTTTACTATTCAATTTGTTATTGTAATTATATTCGTGTCATGATACGAATCGATATCTAAATAAACTGTTCCATAGGAACCATGCGGGTGAAGCCGCTGGTGGAAAGCTAGTATACATATTATTCTCAATTAAAATTCGTTGTATTATATAAGATCTCAGCGGGAAACGACTTTGTTTTATACTATGTATAGATGGCGGCCTAAATACATAAAACATCATCATCTTCATCAGGAAATATTTTGTATTTGTATTTTGTGTATTAAATAAAATCAATGCAAAGATTTTTTCTTATTTTTTTTAATTACCAACAGAGGACTTTTGTTTACATAGTAATAAGTATTTACAACAACTATATATAAAACTATACGTATTTTTCAATGATTGTATTGAATCGAATATATAAGTGAGACAAGCCCTTAAACGCAACGATGTAGATATATATCACTATAAAATTTCACTTAACTTTTCCAAAATTTTAATTAATTTTACTTAAATTGTGGCAGATTTGCATTTTGTGCTGAATTGTATACGTAGATATAGATAGTGAATATGACATTTTCTTTATTTATTTTTTCGAAAATCCGATTAATCATATGACTTATTTAATAAAATAACCTTTGAACGTTTGGACACATTTTGTAATTTTTTAGTGAAGTTTACTTACTATCTTTGTAGGTTCTGTGTATACAATAAAATACACGAGCTATATCCGTTCAAAAGTTGTTTTAATGTGTGCAGAAGTATAAGTAACAAGTAAATAATGTGACTGCTTATTGAAAGACAAGTATCGATAGCGGTACTGCCGATGTTGTGACAACACTAACTTCAGTCATAGATATAAATAGTTCATTCTAGTACGTCTCCGCACAGTTTATTCGCCGCATTTGTAGCGGGTCTCACATTCTCCTCCCCCCTCCCCCCATTCTACTGCTTGTTTGATTCCTCTGGTGATATCTTCGTATTCTGACAGCTCATAAGTATTCCTGTAGAAATATATGTATACAAAATTATTTAGGGAAGTTGGAAATATAAACTTAAGTTGTAAAATTAAATTATTAGATACGTAATATTTCATCAATTTAACAATAAATTAATTATATATTTTAATTAGATCATAGGCATTGAAGTGGCTCGTTACGGTACAACTATGTAGAAAATATACAAATGTCATGAGAAATTTCATCTCAATGTATAATCGTATTTTATTGATTACGCGAAATATAAAAAAATACGTGTTTAATATTCTTCAATAATCTAACTAACGGACAGACAAATAAATGAATAACAGTAAATAAATATTATACAACACCAGTATTGCTCAGATTCCCCGTATTATGGAGTATTTGAGACAACAAAAAACAACACAGACGCGAGACTATATAGAAAAGTCAATTTTCTACATTGACCCCACTGGAAATCGGACCTGAGACCTCAGAGATGGTACACCTTGAAACCAGCTTGCGAACCACTCGACCACAGAGTTTGTCAAACATAATAAATAAGAATTAGTCATCATTTCTATTCCGATGTCCTGCCGCTGTTGGTAGGTTTCCATTCCCAATTGGTAAAGGTAGAAAATAAACTTTTCTATATTGTCGGGACTGGGTGTTGTGAATGTAGAACAACTTTCGTTGTTTCAGATTTTTATAATACAATTATTGTATTAGCTACGTTAGAAAAACATAAATTATGTTATCCAAAACTGTCTTTATCCAAGTGATTTATATTATTGAAATTTCACAGTACACGGACACCTGCCATGCTTAATTAATAATACCATAAAAGTTATTTTACCATAAATGACGAAATGTTTTCACGCCGGTTTCAAAGTGTCGCCATCTCTGAGGTCCCGGGTTCGATTCCCGGTCGGGTCAAAGTAGAAAATTAACTTTTCTATATTATCTTGGGTCTGGGTGTTATAGTGCTTTCGTTGTCTTAGATACTCCATAATACGGGAGATTTAGCTACTCATCTTGGAATCTGAGCAATGTGTGTAATGTTACTTTGATATTTCTCTTGTATATTAATATCAGAATTAGTCTTATAACAGAATTAGAAATTAGTAACAAATTAAAAATTATGCATGTTATAATAAGCAAATATACCTAATGTTACTTGCACAGCAATCCAAGAGGAGCTCTCAGCAATTAATTCAAAATTTATTTTAATTTCACGCTATAAAATAAGTGGAATTTATTATAGTCAGTAGGCAAAATTTATGAAAAATTTTGCTATAGACTGATATAAAAAAACCTTGATAGACTTCTTGATAAAAGTTCAATGGAATTCTGTTCATATTTAGGAATATTAAATACGCGTATAGTACGAATTGCATTGTATTGGATCTCACCCTTGCATTAGTTTTACACCTTGCAGTAGAATCTCCGCTCCAGAAGAGTAAAGTCCCGCTTGTGCTGGCTTCTGACATGAGAGCCGATAGAGACAACCGAAGTTCTTATCGCTCTGCCCTGTCAAGTAGCTAAGGTACAGCAATATTTCCTCTTCAGTGAGATAGGATGCGTTTGTGTTATCTGTTATTTAAAAGGAAAAATTAGATTTTCCTGTCTTGCACAGGTTGAGAAACAGCTGGCATCTACAGCAAATAATCCATCTTAAAGCAGCGATTCACACATTTGTATTACCTATATGGCATATTATTCAGTTAATGAAATAATGATTTCGTTTCTTTTATGTAAAAATCGGTCAAGCGCGAGCCGGATTCGTGTAAGAAGGGTTTCGTAGCATTACCCATAAAAAAGTTAAAAAAATCATGTTTGTTGTTTTCTATAGTTGAAATTTTCGAGTTCAATACAGTTGGTCGACTCTATTACTCGTATACGTGTAAAGCCAGCCTAAGTGTGATAATTTTCGTTTTAACTTCGGTACAACTGCCCTAATGTTTGAATATTTACCAACGACCGGTTAGCCTCTACCAAAGAGGGGGGACACTTGACTCTAGAGAATATTAGCTCTTCAAAGCTTAATAAGTCATAAACGGTTTACTAAATCGAAAAATGGCCTTCCTACACCCCCAATGTTTATGAAATACCTCTCCAACGATGCTCCACACTATGAGGAAGATAAAAAAATAACGACCCTACTTAACATGTAGGGGAGGTATCCTAATTTTTTTTTCAGTTTTAAATATTCAGTTTACGATTTTGTCGGCGTAATTAACGTGTGTATTCATGCCAGATTACAACTTTCTAGTATCATAGTTTTTAGCTAAACCGAGACGGACGGACATGGATTCCGTCTTTACTACGGAATCTTAATAAAAAAGGGATTTTATAATTTAATGAAGTGAACTTCTCTACATAAAAAAATCAGGAAGTGAAATCGGCTCCTGAAGAGTTTCTTGCCGGTTGTTCTTAGTACAAGGCCTTCTATCATATAATTGCTATCTGTTAGTATAGCTTTCGACATTCATAGGAGCTTGTTATAGTCTGAACTGAACAAAATGATATTGAATTTTAATTTAAAGGTGAGGGTTTATAAAATTTCAAAATAAACGCGCTCCAGCCACTCTTGATTGGAGGGTTTCCATTAGAATTGAGTTATACTTTAACAGCCTTACTTATAAAAATTCATTAAACTATGGTTATTCAATCGTTATACCAAGAATAGTTATACTCGGTATATGCTCATAATAACGGAAGAATATCTTTTGACTTATAAACTTGGTATATCTTCGGCGTAAGTATTCCACCCTTATGTTCGATGCACGTAGCGGCAACGCCGCATTTTATAGACAAAAACGAAAAAAAGAAAGTATTTTGTCTGTTGAAGTGTCAAATATCACTGAGTTTAACGCAAGTTTAACGTTTGGTTGATTGATGTTACATGTGGTTATTCCTTGAACAAGACGCGGGTGATTTTGTGCAAGTTATTGTAAATTATTAATTCAATTATAAACTAATATAAATAATTTGAATTTGAATTTAATATCAAAATGGCAAGTAAAAGTAGTATCTCAGCGTTATCAGTATCTGCAATATAGCTCACTGCCAAATAAACGTTCTAACAATAAGACGCCGTCTTTGGAAAAACGATATTTTATACGAAATTCGTCGTCATTGTATAAAAGGAAGGGATCGTTTCTAGTTCTAAATATTTTAGATTTTCTTCTCGTCCTGAACATTTGCGATCGATTGATCAAATTATTAATTTCTTCCACTTTTTGTATTGTCTAAACGCCATATTTCAATAAACACACGTTTCAATATTATTAAAAATTATCTAATACGGTAAATATTTGGTAAATATCAATAAAGCATCAACAATATCAAAATGTCATTTGACAAATCCGTTGCTACACCAAAGTTATACTAGGGTGACGGGCGGAATATCGGTGGAATAAGTTTTGTTAGAACGTTACATCCAGGTTATGCTAAGCATAAGTTACACCGAGTTTATAAGTTGACATTTTGCGTATTCTGCACTAATTCTCGGTATAACATTTTATACCACGTTTATAAGTAGCGCTGTAAAACTATATACCGTTGATAGAAAAGAACTGAAAAAAACAACGGTTTCAAGTACTCGAGACAGTACCTTTCGTTAAGTAAGCTTAACTTTTATCAAATGTTCACTTAACCGTTGTGAGTAACTGACGCGATTTTTTTTACTTTAAGTATACGCAATTATTAATATGTACATTGCATTATTCTTCTTTCATAGTGTTTCGTGGTATACGATTTAAAGTCACATTTTTATATAAAATTTCTTACTTTTTTCATATAACTTTGGATGATTATCTAAAATAATGAAAATATCCTTAATGAAAAATTCTTTAAAAATCCACTTTGTCCCTGGTACTCTAAGATGGTATACGAATCCACGACCTTTTTCTATTTATTCTACTCAGGACCCGACAGGGCAGACGAATTCTTTAAGCATTTGTTACTTTTTCGTTGTGATTTTGAACTATCATCGTCATCTCAGAGTACCTGGGACAAAGTGGCTTTTAAAAGCATTTTTAATTAAGAATACTTTCCAGTATAGCATTGTGAATGCATATATAATAAAAATAACGTAGTCCTGTCTTTCACAGTTGGTTATTAATTGTCACATTATAAAGTAACGAATTGTCTTGGTATGGATATGTAATGTGTAGAGATGAGTTGCATCAAAGAAAAAGGATCATGAATTTGGACGAAAATGTGTATAGAGGAAGATTAAAGACAAGATGGATAGACGGTGTGATAAAGATAAGGAAGCAGTGAATATTAAGATGGCGGCTCATCGAGATGTATGGAAGAAGAATACATATTACGCCTTCTATGTATAAATAAATTGGGAAGCAAATTATGGTTTATTTACATAATTATACATCTCTCTTTTCTTTTGAAGAATTGGGTGATAAAATTCAATTTTGTAAAATTTCAGATACTGTGTAGTATAAAAGTTTGTATAGTACAATTTTATTTAGAGCTTCTTTGTATTTTTCAGCGATACAGTCCACTCTGTCCACTGTCCACTGGACAAAACAAAACAACAGCGCAGTAATCCCCATACAGGATTATAGTAAATGGACAAGGAACAGCCATCACTCGTATTAGATTAAGGATGGTCAGTCCCAGCCGAGGCAGATGTTTTACTGGACAATGCTATTATAGCGGATAAGCTATTGAACGTTGTCTATTGAAGGTATCGGAAATGGATTTGTCTATAAAAATTATATGACGGAGAGTGGTCAAAGTTTTAAACTCCATGGTGTTTCATTTAATGCTCTTAGCACGAGTTATAAAGTGTGGGTACACTTCATGGTTTTGTTTGCCAATACGGAATTTGAGTTACTTAAAATTGGTTCACAATTTGCAGTACAGACGTCTACAGATATGCACTCGAACAAAGAACTTCCTCCTTTTCGATTTTGGAAATGGTTAAAATATATGTTTATGCGTAACGTTACCGTCTAGATTTCTCGCGTAGTGATGTCCCTTCCATGCGCCAGCGCCGAAGAAGCCTGCTGCCAGTATCAACGCTTTCAGTACGATGAGAATCACCAGGTTCGTTAAGTTCAAACTTAACACCTAAATAGACACAAAACATGTTTAGCTGAATCTACATACACTTTGACTTTATATATTTTTAGAGGTAAAAAAAAAGCAGTGAAGTCACACTTAGGAACACATACTTGCAAAATACGCGGAACCTTAAATATTATCCTTCTGCGGAATCTTAGATTTAAATGGTATTTAAATCGTACATATAATAAGTATGTTAAAGAGACATAACCATTCTTTTGTTTATTTTAAGTTGCGTTGGATTGTTTCATATGGAAAAAGTGACAGTGTAATTTTTATTTGATAAACATTTCTTTCCTACTCGTGTGGTTTTGTATAAAGCTTACAATTTTTTTTATCATGATTAAATATCGTACTGTTTGATATCAATTTTATGGAACTTGATTATTTTTATTTACTTAATAATCATATTGAAATAAATGTTATTCACCTTAAGTTAATAATAAAGCAAAAGGAAGTGAAATTACTATATTGTAATGAGGTTTTCTAATATTTATTAAATTGTATATATAATACAATAAAAAATTATATCGTAAATTTTAAGAGACAGTCGCAGATTCATTGTGTCGAGATTTTCGAGTCGAGTTCTCTTATCAATTTTAATTTATTTTGTTCATGATCAATTTTGCATTAGTTATTTGTTTCAAAAGTTACTAATTACTATACCTAGATTGAATGTATACTCTATTACAATCGACATAAAAGATTATACGCCATCAGCAAAACTGTTATTCCCAATTAGTGAGTCACTGCATTCTTCAAAATTCGAAGCTTACTCATGCCAGCGTGCATATTCTAATCAATGGTGCGATACGGACCTGTGATACGCAGTCGAAACCAACCTGACTGCTACCTGTCGAACGGGCGATGAAATCCTTCGCCAAACCCGTCACTAATTGACCACCGGTACTGCTTAAAAAACTTCCTGCTGTGTCCATGAATGAGGATCTTTGATACTGCGTATCGTTGCCGGAGTCAAAGCGGGCGATGGTGTTTTGGTTTTCTTTGAACGGCAAAGGAGTTTTTTCTCTTGGTAGTAAGGCGTTGGTGTCAAATGTCATTTTCGGATACATCTTCTTAGCATATTGAGGTGATGAATATGCGCCTGAATGGTCGGCTGCAGTTGACACAACGTACAGAAGAATTAAGTATATCGCGACCATCCTGTATGGTTATTTTAGTTGGACTGAGGAAGCAGGGTACAATCAGAGATAGCTTTGAGCCGCCTTAAGTGCGTTTCGCAGTTTTATCTCTTCCTACCCTTTTGTTTGTGGTACGCTCGATGACGTCTACTAATGGTGCTATTGTTGTCGATGTGGCGGGGTTGGAATTGTTTATTGCAAGTTTGAAATTGTTATTTGTTTTTATCGAAGTTAGTTTTTTTTTAATAGATGTCCTTTCGTGTTTGTTAGATTGTATACGTGGTTATCAATCTGTTTGTTTTTTGCCATAATGGTAGATGGAGCTGGGGTTTCAATCGGATTATTGTAGGATCATTCTGGCTTGGTGCTAAACTCAAACCGAACGAATGAGCGAGTTAAGATTATATGTATACTGGTTTTCGCTAGCGGCTTCGTCCGCGTGATTCTTAGGGAAATGTTTAATGCGATAAAAGGTCCTATTATTTTAGTCAGCTATCGTATACAAAGTTTCATCAAAATCTGTTCAGTAGTTTCGGCGTGATTGACGGACAAACATTCAATCAAAGGAACTTTCACATTTATAATATTAATAGGATCTTAGAAAATTACTTGCAAAATTGTAACTGGCGCGGATACCAGGTGGTATTGGAAACGCCTCGCAAACCAAGTGTGCTCTTTACCGTCAATATTTAGATCATGATCAGGCATTAATGTTTCCACTGCACATACCTATTGTATTAGGGCAGGGGTCGGCAACCTTTTGAGTCAAAAGAGCCAAAAACTACAATTTACAACATTTTTAAGTTTTTAAAGAGCCACAAAATGTTTTTATGCCTACAATAAATAAGTAATGTAGTCCTACTCTCACTGACATCGACTTACTGCGCAGGACTTTGCTTATTGTGACAAACTAGGTTTCGCATTATTAGAGTTCACTTTCTCTTCCTTCCACTCTCTATATCCGATGGGACGGTTGACCGACACGACCGGTGAGAGATCAGGCGCAGGATCGACAGCTTAACGTGCCCCCCGATGCACGGAATCAACTACTTTCGGTCAATCATGGTGATCCAATTACTATATATAGTACTTGCATAAATAAAGTAATTTTAATCTATTTATTTATAAGACAAAATAATATTTATTTATTCATATATGAGTAGTTTTTTTCATAAAAAAATAAACATATTTATGGTATTAATAATTATAATTCAAGTAAAAAATAAAACATTTAGTTACAAAGTTACAACAAGCAAAGACTATGTGGCTGAGAGATAGAAGTGGTGCCGAATCTTTGTTAATCGATTCAGAAAGTTTTAAAATGATTTTTTTTTATATAAAATAAATAATATTTGTGTTCGGAACTAAAGAGCCGCAGCTTCCCAGCCAAAGAGCCGCATGTGGCTCGCGAGCCGCAGGTTGCCGACCCCTGTATTAGGGAAATCAGGACATGACACAACACGCGGGCCAAATGCGGCTTTGTGGGTGTTGACGACTACAGATGCTGCTGGTATCATCCGCTTGACCACGTCTTTGATCTCCTCTTTACCTTATTTACCTTGACCAGATATTATTAAGTGGCTTTTGTATAGCTCCCTTTAACTAGATAATAGATAAATTAGTTCCTAACGCTGTCTCATATAAAAATATTTTCTATAATTAATAATTATTCAGCAACTATGTAGTAAAATATATCTATGACAAAAAAAAACTTTTCTGAAATGTTGTCAAACTACATTGGGCAATAATCTGTCATAAGCCCGAATACAGTAAGTATATCTAGGAAAAAGTTTCTCAAATTTTTCTAAGCGGCGGAAAATTTTTAGATAAGTTAAGTGATACGCTTTGAAATTATCCTATAATAGTCAAATTTTACTTAATGATTTTAAATTAAATCGTCATCTTTAATAAAGTAAACGCATTGGGCAAACGCAACGCATTGTGCGTTGCCGTAAACCATATGAAGGTTTACTTTTGGGAATGAGTGATTCTCTTCATATTTACGCCTAAGTATGTAGTACTGATATATTATTCGATAAAGTCATCAATTCCAAAAATATTAAATTAATTTTTTTATTACTTTTTGGATAATGTTAAACGTTTATTAGAAAGAACTGTTTACTTATCTTTAAGAAAATATTAACTTAGCGTTGTGAATGCAAAATATATCAAATATAAATATACGTTGGTAAAATAATACAAAAAAATTTAAAAAATTGGATTTGTAATTTCTAAAATTAATTCGCGGCGCTCACTCCCGACTACTCTCCGTGGCGGAATCCCTAGACGACGTGTACAATAAATGTAATCCTCACATTCTCTGATAGGGAGTCGTGAAACTCATCTATTCGCTCGCGACCCACTAGTGGGGCCTGATCTATAGTTTGGGAAATACTGCTGTACAATACAGTGCGGTCGGCAACCCTGAGGTACGGCAAACGTACCGAGACACGTTTATGTTTGTGTCGTGTCGATGGTTCCGCAGGCGCGCAT